CCTCCTGGTAGTGAGGCAATCAACGCTTGCCTAACAGGACATGGGCACCATGACAGTGCAGGAGATAGATAAGCAAACCAGAGCTGAAACAATTTGGCCAACATCTCACTAGGAGACACAGCAGCTGGTCCCACCCCACGAGCATCCCTACTCACTGGAAGCAGTTACACAGGAACCCAAGATGGGGATGGAGATGGCTTTGAAGGCACACACAAAGGCACGAGTCTGAGGGACCGGAGTCACTAAAGCCTGGCTTACTTAGCCCTATTCTTCCCCACAGTAAAATAGGGTCTTCCTAAGACACAGAGAAAGGTTAACTGTAAGAAACTTCCATCCCTGCTCCAAAACTGGTATGAGGTCCCTAGAGGTACCTGCAGATAGGTGGGGCGCAATACCATAAGCCCCTGCTTCCAACCACCCCATTAAGAGCCTGGGCCACTCTGGTGCCCCAGAGGCCACTCCACCCAGCCCCACGCCAGAGCCCCGTTCCTGGGGTATCTAAGCCTGCAGCTCACTCAGGCAGGCAGTTGCTTGGGGAAGCTGGCTCTTGGGTGGCTTTGCTTACCTTTTGGCTCCTGGTGGAGCCAAGGAGAAGTGATAACAGAAGTACTGCTCAGGCTGGAAAGGTCTGCAGCAGTGGAGTGGACTGTAGTCCAGAAGGGAAACTTGGTCTGCTCCTCCTTACCCAACCACGCTGCAAGTAAGAAGGATGAGGCCAGCATTTAGCCAGGGCTGCTCTGTAAAACTCAACCTTTCATTCAGCTACCCCCCACCCTCGCCTCTCAGGTCTCTCCAGCAATGAGTCATTGCTGCCAGCTCCTGCAAACTCAACCCAGATGCTTGCCAAAGCCTTCAGCAAGCACCATGTGCTCATCTGTTTTGGAGTCACCACGGCTTAGGAAAATGCTTTGTGGAAGCCCTCACAGACCAAAAAGCATGAGATCAGTTCCAGCACTTAATCAGCATCTTCAAGGACTTGTAAGCAATTTTGTCAAGTTGACTTAGCTGTGATGTCTCTGGAGCCCCAATCCCTCTAATAGGGTGTGGGGTACTTGAATGGTGTGGGAGAGAAAAGCGTATACATCAGTCCTGAGACATCTGGACCTGACCAGACCAAACCTCCTCGCTCTTCTGTCATTTAAGTACAGGTTCAAAGATCGCACTCCGCCATCATGGGAGATGCAGCCTCAACAGATAATCAGTACGATGCTGCCTGAAGCCTTCTCAGAGGTGGTGTTCACACTTGCCCAAGATCTACGGCACAGCACCAAGTTTAGTCCAGCCTTGCCATGACCAGCTAAAGGGATCACGGTAGCCAAACGTGAGCTGATGTGCCCAAATATAGCAAAAAGCTTACCTCTATGGACTTCTGCAGCTTCCAGCTATGCAACTGGAGCGGCTCTTCAGAATAACTGCACGTTCTGATCACCCAAGCTCACGCCACAGAAGCAGAACTGAGATGGGCTACAAACTCCTTGTCATAAGGGAAACAACTGCAGTATCTGAAAACCACATCTTCCAGTCCAGGTACTTCTAGAACAAATGCGCCTTAAATAACTATGGGGAAAACCAACTAAATCGACTCCAAACCCAGCAATTCCTTCTCTAATTCACTCTAATGAAACTGTAACCCAGATATTACTTTCAGACTCAAGAAGTTCAGCTAGCAAGCAGAGAACACATCTTGAACGCATATAGTGACATCCTGCCTGTCATGACCAGCAAGTTGCTATCCTGTACCCAAACTACCAGCACCGAGTCAGCAAGTGAAAACGCCAAGTCCAAAGTTAACACCTCCACCTGAGAGAAGTGATATGATCTGGTTTTTGCCTATCCCAAAGATCGGATCAGATCAGAGCTGATGTATACTACTGCACATTGAAGATCTGTTGTGATTCTCCTGAAGCCAACCTCCTGGAACAAAAATGCAGTACTACATTAATACATGATCAATACATGATTTCAGGGGAAGAGTTGTGGTGTCAAGCTTTTAGCACCTCCTTTTGCTCCCAACCTACCTCCAACTTTCAGCATGGACCTGAACATTGACCTGAGTCAGGGTTCCTTGTGATCTTCTAATTACAGCAAAAAGCTAACCAATGGTGCTTCCAGCTCCTGAGATGGCCATGTTACTGACCAGCACTGTTTGACAAAGGGCCCTGGCTGCCTCGCTTCTGCTAGGTGCAATCCACAAAAGGAATGAGATTGGTCTGCAACCTGCCAGACTCGGACCACCACCTATCAGCCAGGCCCTCCCAAGATGCTTGAAGTCTCCAGTTCCAGCTCCTACCTGCCTACTGGATTTCTGAAGTGCTGTCCTGTTGTAGCACTATCCTACCACCTGCACTGAGATGAAGGTGTACCCTGGCTCCTGAAGAACTTTTAGGTCCATTTGCAGAACCCTAGCGACTCCCAGCACATCTATGTCTGCTTTAGCCATACATAAAATAGGACTATAATCAGCTACCTCAGAAAAGAGGCTGTCAATATCTGGAACCACTTGAAGTGTACAACAGATCAAAGCATGAAGTTTCAACTAGACTCTTCCACTGGGAAGAAAAGCCTGTCTGGTGCCTGATGGTGTGCTGCTAAACACAGACACCAACTGCTGAACTGCTGATGAAACAGCTCATCTTCAGCACCCCTTGGTGCAACAGCCATGAGGAGTGGCCCAAGGAACCAACAGTATTTTGCAACTAGAAGACACTCGAACAAGCTAGGTAACACATGTGACTTGACCAGAACCAGAGCTTTCCTTAGCAAGTTGGAAAACCTCACCCTGATGGGTGCAGAAACCTCTCTGAAAGGGAGCTGCTCGTACTTTAGCTTCCTGCTCCTAACCAAACTGCTGAAGGACTTTGTATTCTGGCCAGTGCTGCTCTAGCACACCCTTGCCAAGACATGCCAGCCTCTTGCAACTGCAGTGGGTGCCTGCCCTGTGAAGACACCTTGCCCCTGGTGCTGTCCGGAGCTCCTCAGCTTGCTTGATCATGGCTCCCAGTCCTTGACTGTGGCTTCTGGCTCCCAACCAGAAATGAGAGGATACTCTCAGTGGTTAGAGCCATCCAGAGTCCAGTCCTTGAGAGCACCCCAAACACAAATGTTAAGAGCCCCAAACACAGCATTGCTTCTCATGTGAAGGTCTCCAGATAGAGCTATCCCATCCTTCACCACGGGCCTGGTGAAGAATGTGATAAGCTGTATTGCAGAAAAATAGCACCAGGTTCCTAGTGCAGTAACACCACCAAGCAAGGGCCCCCACATCAACCCACCCACTAACTGTTCTGGCTTTCAGCCATCTTCAAGAAGGATGAAGTAGCCCTGCCCTCTGCCCTGCCTGCAGTTGCGCACAAGCTGCCAACTTAGGAACAAAACCCATACTTCCAGGCTTCACACTTGAAACAACTTAGGTTGAGAGGTTTTCTGGGAGCCTCTGGGTCCAGCCCCACCATATAACACCAGACTCAGCATCTTCAGCACTCCTCCAGCATGGTGACAGGCGCTGCTGCAAACAGCACACCCAGCTAAAGGCAGGGCAGCTCTTCCCTTGGGTAACTTCTCCCACTCGAGCTGGGATCAGCCCTTCTCCAGCAGGAACTGGGTGTCAGGCAGCTGCAGCCAGGGTGGGGGCTGTGCCCCACAGCAGTTCGGAGCAGGCAGGTATAAAAAGCAAGCCGTTAGCACAAGTCCTCTCTTGCCCAGGCCAAAAGCAAAGGCAGCAACTCCAAGCAGCACTGGAGTTTAATTCTGCTGCTTTAATTCTGCTGCTGCCTGGCATGACGGAGGATGAGGAGCAGAAGAGGCTGCCTGCATGGATGCTGGGAACCCCCGTGTGGGCTGTGACTTTGTGCCAAGAGTGACCGGGGTTTCTGTACTGGTTTTACTGTGTGAAGCATGTGACTCACGCACTGCCCTCACTGCTCCCAAACCCTGCCAGCCTCGGCTGCCGAACCCAGCACCTCTTCAGGCCTGGGCGAGCCCCTGGAGAATGGCCCCCTGCCACACTCGGCTGGATCACCTTCCCCCTTTGATGCTCTTCATTCTGGATGCCAGCTAAATTAGCCTGTGCAATAGCTTGGGGGAGAGGGAAAGGCAGCAAGCACTGAGCCACCCGCCACAGAGTGCAATGCCTCAGCTTGGCTCTGCAAGTAAAAGGCACATGGGAGAAGCCAGTCAGACCCCAGGCAAAAATCCCAAAGGAGCAGGGCTGAGCGAAGACAGGCTTTCCAACAGATTAGCCCTTATCCAAAACACTCTTACCCACTCTAAACCCAAGGACTGGAAGTCTGAATCCTTTAGTCTTAGTTGTTGAGGAGCCAGACAGCTGTCTGCAGTGCAGGAGAGCCCTTCTGCTACATGCTCACCAGTAATTAAGCCATACACAGGGCAGACGAGGATTTGCATACCATTATACACTGCTGACAGACTGGAGCAGCCCAAGGCGTATGTGCTACGCAGGTGTTAGCTAGGTGCTGGAGGGGAGCAGAAAAGGCCTAATTCTACCTCTGCAGCACATAAACATTTTGGAGGTGCTGTGCCAGAAAGAGCTGCCTGGAAAAAAGTCAAGGAAGCAACAAACCGGCACCAGCTGAGGTGAACCCAGCTCTCAGATCTCCTTCCCGATGCTTCTTCTCTTCCAGGCATCACATCTGAGGCCATAAAAAAAAAATCCCACAAGGACTATGTTGAAGGCAAAGCACCCAGGGGAGCGCCAAAGACAGGCTTGGACTGGTTGCGCTCTTCCACCCCACCAAAACTTGGGGCCAGCAAAGAGTTTCAGGTGGGCTGAGGGGGGTGGGGACCTGATGATGACTTGCTGGAGACAAAGACAGCTCTTCCCTGAAGGATACCCCACCCCAATCACCTTCACTGCCCACACCATGACCTTGGTCCGTGGTGAGCAAATCTCAGTGCCCTTCCCTCCCCGCCGTCCCACCAGTGATCCTCCCAGAGCACCAGCAGCAGCACCCTCTGGAAGGAGGACACAGCCATCAAGACGGTTTGTTGAGACCATCAAATAATAATTTACTGTGATTCAATCTGTGGCTTTGTACAGTTGCCGGGGTGGGAGGAGGCCAAAGGAGGAGGGGATGGGGAAAGAAAAAAAAAAAAAAGAAAAAAGTTGTTTGCCGCAGGCTTGGGTGAAGTGCGAGATAGTCCTTGGAGGGGCTCATGCTCCCCCGTCCTCTTCCTCCTCCTCCTTTTCCTCTCCCCCTCCCCCTATACTCCTCCCCTGAATCCGTTTGCTTCTTCCTTCGCTTCACCTCTTTCCTTGCGCTCTGCACAGTGGGAACCTCTCCAAGACACAGTCCAGTCAGCTGAAACCAGAAGAGGACACTCATTAGCACCCATCTGCTGTCAGAACCAGGGGGAGCTGTTTCCATTACCCACTCCTCACATTTTGGGATGACCCTGCTGGTGCCCACAGAGGGAAAGCAAAGGGCTACACAGGTCTTGGAGGTCTGGACCTGGCTCAGCAAAGCATCTGCACATGTGCTGAAGGGAACGAGCAAATGGTCTGTGGAGCGATGGGTGAGCCTCGGGCATCTCGCCAGACCTTCTGCCTCTGCCCAAACCTCATTGTAGGAAGGGACAGTTTGGTGAGATCTTTCTCCCTCCTCCAGGGATGATGGGAACCACAAAGTGAGTCCAGGGCAAATGCAGCCAAGTCTCCCTGGCCACACACCCACCCTTCTCCTCCCCAAAATCCAGTGTGTCCTTGCCTTGCTTCTCTTTTTGTGCCCTGATGTTCCTCCCTCTCTGCTCTTGGCCACTGCAGCTAGAGTAAACTGGGATGTGTGTTTTCCAGTTTCTGCCTGAGCAGAAAGAGATGTGGGCAACTCACAGGGCACGCTCTCTTAACAGAGGGGAGTTTTCCCAAGAGACTCCTTCCCACCCCTTCTTGCCCCTCCTTTTGAAGGCACTGCCCATGCCAGTGCTGGCCACCGCGCTGTGACAGGGACTGGGCTCCTGGCAGTCGGGTGTAGGGGAGCAGCAGCGCTTGCCAAGCCCATGCTGTCAGCTATGAGCCAGAGCAGGAAACAAGCCCCGAGCTCACATCCCCATCTGGAGGAAATGCTCCTGAACATCTGGAGGACCTGAACATCTGGAAAACCTCTCTTAGCAGTGATAAGTGTGCTGGGCACAGCATTCAGCTCCGTCCCCAGGAGACCTCGTGCGCCTCGGCTGGGAGTGGAGGGGTGGGGTGCTCGGGTGGTTTTTTGCTCATAGGAAGCAAATGCTGCCAGCGTTTGGGGTTTTTTGTTTTTTTTTCCCGGGGAAGAGCTCTGCTGCATTCACGGCCTTTGGCTCAAAAAGCGATGGAGGAAAGCCAGCTGCCCACCTCCACCTTCAGCGAGACCCTCTTAGCACCATCTCTGGACACGATGCACTTCTGTTTAGGACTCCAGCAGTTGTGTAAAGGGGTGAAGGGCCAGTCTGGGTGCTTGGGAGACTCCCCAAGAGACATTAAGGGCAATGTTCACGCAGGCTTTTCTCCCACACCCCAGTCCCAGATGTCCTTAGATGTTCATCTCCCTGGTGCACTCATCCCCAGTTGCCTCTCTCCACTTCTGCCATGGAAGGAGCTGGTTACACAGCCAGATGTTCCCAGGCGTTTGGCTTAAGGCCACCCAGCTCAAGCAGGGACACCGATAGGAGCTCTCCCTCCCTGCTATCCAGCAGGATTGCAATGATTTAAATAAACTCATCATTAAAAAAAAACAACAGGGAAAGAAAAAGAAAAACAGGCAAGTGAACACAGACCATCTGAAAAACACTGTTTCTGGCTCCAGCACGCACAATTTATAAAAGCAAAACAGCCCCCTTATGGCTAATTCTCAACATTGCATCAGTTCCAAATATCCCAGGGGATGTATCTAATGGGGAAAACTCTTCTGAGGAACACAGGACTTTCACAGTGAGACAGGTCTGCTCTGAAGCTTTAGGACGAGGCAATTTACATGAGTGCATTAAGAGGCAATGCGCTCACCCAGCTCTTCATCTGAACTCCTCTAGGGCCAGTCTGGTGAACACACAGCGAGCCGCACACCTTCAACACCAGCTTAACTCCTCTTTCAGACAGGCAGCATGGGAAGGAGCTTTCCCAGGGAAAGCACAACAAAACATTTTTTTTTTTAATTCAGTTCTGTAGAATTTTGTTCCACAAAATGAGGGGGAAAAAATAAACAACTCTCTCCTCCTACACACTTCCTCAGGAAAGTGGGAATTTTGACTTACCTATGTTCTGACAGAAAAATGCTATTTCAGTCAAAAAAGTGTTTCATTAAAAAATACCCATTGCTGAAATTGTTTCTGCTGCATTTGTTTGCAGAGGAGTGCATCTGCAGTCACCTCCTGCCCTGCTTTCCAATATACCCCTGCTGCACCCCATCTCCTGCTTCCAATATAACCCAGCTGCACCCCATCTCCTGCTTCCAAAACTCACCGTAGTCACGATATCACACATTTACAGTTCATGCAGCCGGGGCCGCTCTCATCTGGGGGATTCAGCTTGCGCAGCTTGTGCTGACGGATCTCCCGCACCAAGGTATAGAAGGCATCTTCAACGCCCTGGAAGAAAAGCATTGCTTGAAGCAGCTGCCCACTTCGAGAGGGGACAGTGGAGAGAAGAAAGGGCTCTGCTCCTCAGCTAGGTGTCCCTAGCACTGTCTTCCAGCAGTGCAGATTGCAGAGTTAAAGGCACAAAGCCAAGCTACAAAGACTAACAGGTATCTCAGTGTGGCCCCTGAACAGAAAGCAAGATTGAATGAGCAATCACGAGGCCAAGGAGCTCTTAAGTCCTTGTGATTCATCAGCTTTCAGCAGCCTGAATGAGGTCTACCACCCAAGAGAAAAGCCACCACTAGACCACTGAAGGAATCAGCTGTTCCATTTCCACCTCTGTGCTCTGGAAGCCCCACATGGTCCTTCCAGCACTGGTATATTCTGCCTGTAGGTCTGCCAAAGTAGGCCATGGATGAGGTTAACCAAGTCCCCTGAGCTTAGCTGACCTGCAGTGACTACAGGGGTTATTCCAGAGGCTTGGAGAAAGCCCTGAGAAGGCATTTTCCCTTCACTGCTGCCAGAGCTTGAATTATGCACTTCTCCGGATTGGAGGCTCAAGCCTGGACAAGGGAGGGAACGTCCTGATGGAGTACTTAGTCTTCAGGAAGCAACTAACCCCAGCCCTTGCACCCATCTGTCTGCAAGGTGGTGTCTGCCCATTCCTGCCTCTCCAGGACAGCACTGGAGAAAAGAGAAGAAAAAGAAGATTTTGTTTAAAACCCTCCTCCTACCTGTCTAGTTTTGGCAGACGTTTCTATGTAGGGGATCCCATAACTCCGGGCCAGGTCCTGCGCTTGCCGGGTCTCCACTGTCCGGGCTGGTAGGTCACATTTATTTCCCACCAGCACCATGGGAACATCATCTGAGTCTTTCACCCTCTTGATCTGCTCCCTGCAAGAGTAAGAGGTGCCAAAGTGAAGGGAGAAAAAGGCATCAGGGGGCAGCTCCGGGACACTCCCCACCAGCTTCTTCATCAAGAATTAACAGCTACACTTCGTTCCTGCCAAATGCCTTGTGTTGGGCTTTCAGGAGAATGTAAACGACCACAGCATTTAAGTGAGTAAACAGCAAGAAAGCTAGGGCACTTCTGGAAACAAAACCTAAATGCACTTCTGCTCTTTAAATGCAACTGTTTACAAAACACAACTTGAAATTATGACAATCTATATTAAGACATGAACTTAAGATAGTTTAAGCTTATTAAAAATGAACACACAAGCAGTTACCTGTGTTATTTCCAACATTTTAGAAAAAGTAATACCCCTGAATGTGAATTTAAAAAAAAAAAGTCACCTGCAACCAGAATTTGCTGAGCTGATAAACCAGCTTTTGGCAGCTGTAACCTTTTCTGCAGATGCACAGGCAGTATTTGCTTCCTTTCAGTTTAGTTCAGGTCACTTCAAGTTGAGAAACCAACTGGGAAGCAAAAAAGCTATAATGCTCGCTTCATCATTCCAACCTCGGATTTAAAACTAGGTGGGCGAGGATGAGATCTACCACTTCTAAAAAATCTTAAAAGCCATTATGACCACAAACAATCCATTCAATTCCCTCCTGACAGATAACAACTTCCTTTGCTTAATAAATCATTTAACTTCAGATGCAAAACAGCTTTTTTTTTTCTTGCTCATGTATCCAGAACATTTAACATGGTTTTACTAAGCTAATAAAAATATTATTTAAAATGCTGATTTCGGCATTTTAATTGAATTCAAATTTCCAGCCAAAAGCAGCTGGACATGTATCACACACAAAAAAAGAAAAAATCAATTATCTTTCTTTAATGTAGTAGAACATAGAAATGAAGTCTGACTATATGTATGATATGCTATAAAGCCACTTAAATGTTCCATGTAACATCCTGATCAGCAAACGCAAGTACTATATTTAGTGCACGGGCTACACTTAGCTGAAAAGAGATACCTCCTAATGGTTACTAACCAGGGAGAGCCAGTGTTTCTCTGGGGAATATTCTTTTAAAAGTGCAAACACAAAGAGCACAGGCAAAACGAGATGAAAGCCAGTGATTTACATCATGATTAAAACCGGGGCTTGAAATCGAGCCATCCTGCGAGTGATTCACAGGCACCAGCCCTGGCACACGGATGAATGCTGCTGAATCCCTCAGGTGCTTTAGGAAAATCCCACCCTTTGTTCGCTGGTTCAGCTAAAACAAGCCAAATTAGTCCAACCATATAGTTATTACACTGAACACGCCTGCTAGCTGGTGACTGAGACATCTCGACAGCTCAGAGCAGCGCCTCTGACTATGGAGCAAGGAAGGGCTGTGCCTGTGCTCGGAGCTAGAGGATTATCTGGGACCCGGGTTTATGATGAGGGACTGGGGTACACGGTCCCATGTCCACACGGTGGGCAGCGGACAGTGCAGGGACAGGCAGAGCTATCTCTTGTATCCTCTGCAAGTGCCTCCCATCACAGCCAAGCCTCAAAAAAAAAAAAAAGGGCATAAAGCAGAGAGATCCCTCCCTAAGCTAGCATCAGGGTAACCAGGGAAGACTCCCACTGCATTTATATCATCTCCTTGGCTCTCCAGCTCTGCAGGGGTGATGGCAGCAGGGGGGAGAAGCGGAATGGGTAACCTGGGTGCAGCCAAAGCAGGACCACGCCAGGATGGGGTCCCTGCTCTGCCACCACCCCCCAGTACATCCTCTTGGGCAAGTCACCTCGCCGGGGCTCTGACTCTCCTCCTGCTCCATCTTTGCCCTGGTTGAAACCGAGCTCCAACGGGCCAGGACTGCCTCCTCCTGCATGCATGCAGCCAGCAGACCGCAGCCTCGCCACAACAGCTGCCAGCGGGGGAAGCAGCCCTCCCTGCCCTTCCCAGCCTCCTCTCCCAGCTCCTGGGCCCAGCAGAAGTCACCGAGATCGATTACACTAACAAAGCAATTCCATTAATTAGGGAGGGAAGGGAGGGGGTCATAGAGGATCAGCTCTCTCTTTAGTCACCATAAACACTTAAACATTACATTACCGAGTCCCCAAAGGCCACAAGCAATCCCTTCGGATGGGTTTTATTGGAGTCACTGACATTAGCCGTCTGCTCCGTCTCTTCCCTGGGGAATGGCCACTTGAGCTAATTGTCTTTGCTGGCAGCCAGTGCTTCCACCGCGGGGCCTGATCTAAAAGGGAGGGCAGGAGGGTGCAGCGGCAAGGCCTCCCCTTTGCACAGGGCAAGAGGGAAGGGGCCCTTCCCAGGATACAGACCTGTACTGGTGAATATCTTCAAAGGACTTGGTGTTGTTGATGGCAAAGACGCAGAGGAATCCTTCCCCCGTTCTCATGTACTGGTCTCTCATGGCACTGTACTCCTCTTGCCCTGCAGTATCCAAGATGTCTAACAAGCAGGTCTCTCCATCGATGACGACTTGCTTTCTGTAGGAATCCTACAGACCAGGAGAGGGAGAGACAGGGAGGAGAATGCGTTAAGGGAGGGCTCGGGTCCGGCGAAGCGAAGGGATGCAGCAAGTCCATCCCTGGGAAGATGCCAGGTCACGCTCTGCCTGGGTTTAGCTCCCATTAAATAGCTGACTCAACCTGTTTCAAAAGTGGGAGAAAAAGGAAAAAGAAGAAAAAAGAAAAAAAAAAAAGAAAAAGGGAGCAGCTGAGCAGGTTTCCCCTTCTCTGGCAGAGCCACAGAGAAGACAGCCCCTGGCTTGCTCTCCCCACTCCCAGCCCTGCCTCTGGCAGACCAGGGGCAGCTTTGTCTCTACCACACCGCATAGCCCTCGACAACTATTTCCTAAGCTTTATTTAGTCCTGGCTAATCCCTTCTGCTGCCACCCTGTCCGTGTGCTGGAAAGGAACGCCCAGGAAAGGCGGCTCCAGCCAGCTAGGGCTTCCAGCCACCATCTGCGATCTGCAGGGCTGGAAGGTGTTTAAGATCACCTGGAAATCCAGCACCTCCAATGCATTTCAGATCAGGCACCAGAGGCGATATGCTACTGGTAAGGCTGCAAACTGGTCTTGATGGTAAACCTCTTCTTCAAACATGAGAAAAAAAAAAAAAAAAAATCGCGCTGTGAGGAGGGTGTTTCCCACAACCAGTCTGTGCCCAGAGGGCTCCAGGAGAGGTAAGAACTATCCAGGCAGGTCCTCTGAAGTTGGGGGTTTTCCCTGCAGCAGAGGCACTCGCAACATTGCAGATGTGAGAAGGCCTGGAAATCACCCAGGGCATCCCTCAAAAGGTTTCATTTTCAAGGCAGGCTCCTCAAAGCACCGCTCCTCCCCACCATGCCTCTCACCCGTGCCCGGTCTTATCAGCAGGGATGCTGCTGAGGCAGCCCCAGCACAGAGGAACAGCTTCATCCCTCTCCGATAGCCGTCCCCCAAGTACGACACAGCATCCTCAACTCTCAGCGAGAGAAGGAAGCCAAAACCAAAGGTATAAAAAAGGTGCAAGTCAGCAATATGACCACGACAGTGCTTTGCAGCCACTCACAGAGGCTACGGCTGCAGTTTAAAATTAATTCAAATGTCTGCTGCTCTTCCAACGACCACAACAATGTTATCAGATGAGCTTTGCAGGTCTGCAGACAAACAGCCGACACAGCAAAGGTCACCGACAGGACCAGCAGCAGCACGGAAAGGGAATGGGGCCAACACAGCCTCCACCCTTTGGTTCATTACTACATCATCATCATCTACTGCGGCTAGTTAAAGTCTTTCCTCACCTTGCTGAGAGGGCCGCGAAATCAGAGATGAGATCTGCTGTGCCACGACCTTCTCAGACGTGTCTTCCCAAAAAGGGGACTGCTGACCCACTGGGAGTAAGCGTGGAGTGATGGGCTGGCTTCCAGCCAACCGCTCTGAAGGCAACTGGCAGGCTGCGCTGCAGGGATGCGCTCCCATTTCTAATCAATAATGTATCTGGACCCTCCTTGGTGCAAGGTAGAGGAGCACTGGTTCCACCTCTGGGGTCCCAGTGCCTGGCAGGGACGAGCAAAGGGGATCCCAGTGCCTGCTCTGCCCAGCAGAGCACCCTCCCACCCCTGTGCCCTGGCTTGTGTCCAGAGGACCAGCCTTTCGGCACACGTGTTTGCAATTAATTGCCAAGTCCCCAGTTACAGGAGGTCTCACCAGCAGACAGCATGCCTACGGAGAAGCAATCCCACACCTCGGCTCAGGTCATCAGCCAGCTAGCTCGCTAACAAAGCAAAGGCATTAACAATCTTGCAAAGGAGGATACTTTGCACCCCACTCCCCAAAGGAGGGGGACAAGCTCTCCCCACCCTTGCTTTGTGTCCAGCTTCATCCGATCCCCCACGGGATGCTTGGGATGGCGGCTCAGCCATCCCCGCCACGCTGCCAGGTGACGTGGCTGCTACTGCAGGGGTAGCTACCACCAGCCCACATGTCCAGCCACAGGCACCCCGCAGTCTCAATGCTTCTCTGCGGCCCCCCCCATGTCTTACTCTACCTCCTCGCACACAGGAAAGTGGCCAGACCCAGCTGTGAAGTGCCAGGCAGCAGAAACAACATCTGCTTGGGATTCAGACTCAGGATCCCAGACGGATGCTGGGAGCACCCCAGGTGTGCTGGGGGACCAGGCCAAGAGGTCCATTTGATAAACGCTACAGACAGGATAAGACCAGAGGCTTGGGAAGCCCGTTACTAGCTGACTGCTAAAAGCTGGAAGACAAACCAAAGAGTTTCTCAACACAGTCTGACTCTTTACTCCATCCCCACTCATTCACTATGGGACACTGCCAGCAACATAAGTTTCCTTGGTGCCTTGGCCCTCCCGTTCCCAAAATAAAGGTCTTAAGGCTCCTCGGCAGCCTAAGAGCAGGTGTGCGAGCGCGTGCTGTAGCGGGTCAGCCGGCGTTGAGTTACAAAGCCAGACATTTGCACTAGTGAATCAGGAGGGCAGAAGGGGAGCTGGCACTCAGTCGGGGTCTCTGCCCCAGACAGGGGACAAACTCACTTCTCCACCCCTCCTGCTCTGGGGAGCATCTTCTCAATGCACCCCAACCTGCTCACCCCCCCCCTTTGCAGCACAGCCTGCGCTCGATTCATTTAAGCGATGGGTAAAGGCTTTGCTCCATGCATGTATACTCTTTATTTTTCCCTTTTATCCTGCTCATTTCAGCATTGCTGTGCTGTTTGTTAGCTGGCTGAACAGTCACAGTCAGCTCCCGGGCATGATCCAAAGCAGCTTAGTCACAGGAGGGTGGTTTATTGGTCACATTCGGATGGCTGGCAGGTAACTCTCTGTGCATCTTAAATCCCCATAAAATGAAGCATAATTAAAAGGAGTCACCCTAGAATGAGTGAGAAGATGGCTGGGGTGGGGGCGAGGCAGGGCACAACCACGGGAGCTGCAAAGGCATCAGGGCTGGTGGGACCTGCAAGGTGGAAAAGCACCAGGGCTGAGAGGGGTAAAGAGCAGCTCGTGGCTGCTTTAGGAAGAGAAGAGCAGAGTGGGGCTAGGGGGAACAGGGGAGGAGAGCAGGTATCTCCTGGGCACAGCAGGAGCGGGCAGGAAGAGAAGAGGGTGTGCTGGGAAATGCCATGCAAGGTTTACATTCCCCGCTGCCTGTTTATATGGAGAAAATTCCCTGCAGGGTATGTACAGGGGGCAGGCAGCTGCAGACAAAAAAAAATAGGATGCCAAAACCCAACACACCACTGGGTCAGAGCTGCCTCTGCCCACCCTAAGGTCCAAGAGAGGACTGATCCATGCAGACGTCTCCCCAGGGAGGTTGCTCTCCATCAGCAGCTCTTTTGCAGAAACCAACCTGGAACAGGTCTCTAAGAAAAGCATACGATGCTACTGGTGATGAGCATGTGAGAGGAGAGGAGCTGGGGAAGAGGGCAACTGCACCCATAAGCAAGGTGCAGCACTGAGACTTGGGAGCCCTTAAATTAAATTCCAGTCTCTGCCACTGACTTTCTAGGTGACCTTGGCCAAATGACGTAATAGCACGTGCTTTTAAATGCTTTCTCTCCTTCTCATCTGTAGGATTGTAAGACTATTTCTGCCTTTCTACCAAGCCTTGTCTTGCCTGTTTATTTAAGTTGTAAGCTCTTTCAGGGTGGGGACTACACATACAACACCTACCAGAATATATTTCTGATCCCAGCTGGGGCCTTTTAGCCATTATGATAACAACAACTGCAGCAACCACAGCTGCATTTATACACATCTGAGAGAGAATCCTTTAGGACTGCAGACAGGGAGGTTATTGTCCGAGAGGCATGACAGAACTGTAATTTGCCTTCCCAGGGTGGACTTACTCCTCGTGCAGAGCAGCGGCTGCTGCACACCTTCATTTGGGGGAGATGTGGAAGTCATGCAGGGGTTAATTAGCATCTCGCTAGCAACAGTGAAAGCAGTCGGAGAATGGAATATGTTTTTAAAAAGTAAAAAAAAAAAAACCAGTGTAATGGATATTGAAGACCGGACACCGCCCCCCCGCCCCGCACAGCCTGGAGGAGCAAAGAGTCCCTGCCTGCTTCTCCAGGCAGGGTGCTGAGCTAGACAGGCCAGTGCTACCATCCCAACCGTCTATGAGACCCATACATCAACCTTTAACTCCTCACAATGGAACAGAGGCAGCACTCTGTGAACCACAACAGTTCAGCTGCTCGGCACATCTCGCTTAAACTGCAGGACATATATAATACGACCAAGCTCTGATAAAACCCATTTCATCAGTAAATCTCAAAACATCCTGCATGAGAAGTCAATATATTTACTCTGATTTCACAGGAGGATAAATGGAAGCACAGGCATAAAATGGCTCTTCAATCCCAAACCTTTAACCCCTCCCTATGCCCATCCCTTCTGATGTCGTCTCATCAGAAAGGAGGACTTTTGTATTGCCTCTCAGCCCCTGCCTGGCTCTGCCCGCTTCTGCTGCCTCCCTCGCCGTCTCTCTCCAGCAGACACTGCTGTCCTTCTATAGGAGGCACAAGTCGGTCACTGCGACCTTCGAACATGTGCATAGCGACTCAGAATAGTTCTGCAAAGCAGAGGAACATCCCTGCTCAAGTTCAGACTTGAAACCAAGCCAAGCATGCTCTGGGTTGGAGATAAGGTGGAGAAGAGCAAGAGGAAAACACGCAGACAGACTGACCCCATGCCCAGAGCCACTTACCTCTATCGTGGGGTCATACTCATCAACAAAATGGTTCTGAATGAGCTGTATCGTCAAAGCACTCTTCCCAACACCACCAGCTCCCACCACCACCAGCTTGTATTCGGTCATCTTCCAGCTGACCCCAGCTCAGGACTTCCAGGAGCACCACCACCTGCAAGGAGAAACACGACCGCTACATTAGGAGAGGGGGTCCCTCCCTGTCACTGCCTGCTCTGCAGCAGGGCTGAGCAGTCAGCCCCCCTTTTCTGCTGGAAAGTCAGAAATCTGCAAAGCACAGGCTCATTCCTCGGGTACTGAGCATTCACAATGTTTCCTGCACGTCCCAGGAGCACCCAAATGCTGTGAGGTAGAGACACTGAGGTCTGGGATCCGGCACCTTGTAACAGAGACACCTAATTCTGCAAGGCAGAGGTGAAGGGACGCACCCCTTAAGGTTTTAACAGCCTTTTAAGTTGCTTGACTTCAGTAGGGATTGAGGATGGGACAAGGTAAACCCATTTCACTGCTATTCTGGATGGCAAGGAGCCAACCCTCACTCCTTGGGGTGAAAACCAGAAAGCCACCATCAGGGATGCAACGTGCTTTTAACGTAGCTTTATGAAGCCACCATGAAATTGCCACCTCAGGGTATTCTCTCCAGGACCACCCTGGTCTCTCATCTCAAGCTTGCAGACGTACCACCCTGGCAAGCCTGGCCTGGAAATGGGGAGATGGTGGGATGGCCTGTGTGCCCCAAGGGTCAAGGGCTTTCTTACCTTCTTCCCACCCAGCACGCTGACTACCCTGGGAATCTGGCCACAGAAAGATACACTTATTTGTGTCTGTCACCCTGTACCGTGCTGCCAGGATCCACTGCCTTTCTTTTGCTTTTACGGTCCGATGCTCTGGGGTCTCAAATGTGAGATAGCCTCACCTACAACCATGAAACTTGGTCTAAAAGTACAGCATGGAACTGCAGCATCCAGAGCTATTTAACCTAATATTCTCCACTAGTAATGAAGGTTACTTTGAAATAGGCAAAATAATAATAATAATCCATCAAACTTCATACAAAACTATGTTTATCCTGTGATATGCTGCAATGCTTCAGCCTGATGGTCTGCGTGCAAACTTCACATATTCCCTGAGCAAACCTCAAGAGGTAAGGGAGTGTTACTGAAAAAAAAAAAACCCAGAGGTACAGGCTGTGTAAATCAAAAGTAAACCCTAAAGTAACTAGTTTAAGAGGTCTGGTTTTCCAGAAGTGCTCAGCACTGTCTCCAGTTTGCCTTATCTCAAGCTGGGGATCCAAAATCATTAGATTTGAAAGCGTTGGCCAATGTGGTTTGGATGTCAATGCCCATGAGAGCAGGGAAGAAGTCCCATCCCCCCCAAATACACTGTTAGCTCCATGTCTTCACCCTCGAGGCTGTGTTAAACCTCAAACCACAGGGCAGGTTTGAGATAGTGGCACATCCACACCCTCTGCCCATCCTCCAGCTAATGATGCCTCCCGCTATGCTGGCCATCACAAGAGGGAGGACGACTGCAGAAGGGGTACTGCTGCTCCCAAAAGATGAAGCTGGCACGCCCCACAGGGGAGCAAGAGACACTATCATGAAAGGTGCTAACTGGGAATGATGATTAGGGTCAGGATGAGCAAACCACACTTCTGCAGCAGCATGTACTTGCCACGGCCCTTCAGTGGGAAAAAATTCATCCCCCTCACCTCCTCCCTTAAATTTCTGCTCCAGCTCCGCTGAGAAAGAGGAACTTTAAGTCAGGAAGATTACAAAACCCCGAAAGTTTAAATAGAAATCCACCCTCACTGGACTGCAACCCCTGCCCACTGAACATCACCCCAGGGTCAGATACTCGTCCGCAGCTGTCATCTGCGAGCTCTGGGGAAGCAACCCGAAACGCAGTGGGTAGCGGGAAGACAAGCTCACGCTTCTCCTGGCCCATTGCCATTCGATGCAGCCTGCAACACCGCTGCATGGGGATTAGACACCACACCACCCCCCACCCCCCCCAGACAGTTAAATCACTCCACCCTCCTCGCCAGCCCCTCTCCCAAAACCCTGGAAGCTGGTACAAATTGTGCTGGCAAAGGCCACTCTAGACCTAGTCTTCATCTGATGCATTTGCTAAAGCGGCAAAGACCTAATGGAAAGGAGGCCAGAACTTTCTGCCTTCAATCCCCACCTGATCGCAACCTTAAACCACTCAGACAGTTCAATCACCCACTTGAGCTGGGAGCAGTCAGACACAACCACCTCTTGCCAAAGCCCTTTTCTGAGCTGCTGTCTCGGTAGCTGGAAGGCAAACAAAGCTCATGCCCTTCTCAGCATCCAGGATCCTGAAGAAGGGCAAGGGAGGGGGTGCAAAAGAGCGACCAGAGCACAAACACGATGCCAAGCAGGACCTCTGGTTGCTGTGCCGTTCTTCACAGCTGGAGAAGCTGAAGGTCGTTGCGCATGGTGGAAAAGTGGTGATGGTGGGGGAAATGAGGTGCAAATAATGTGATACCCTAGGTCCGTATCTGAAAGTGCCACTGCTTCCCAGAAAAGTCCAATGTGCCTCTGTTCTGGCGGCCAAGGAAGAGATGCAGGTTGAAAGCAAGGCTACAGGAGACAATCTAAGTGATCACACTAATTGACCGTGCACACGTTGCTCTGCTCCATTAATGCACGCCTTCACATATATATGAATTTCTCACATACACACATACTTCTCAGGGACAAGAGAGATCCCCACCCCAGGCTTCTCATCTCTCTTGGATGGGAAGAGACAACTACACCGAGGGACGGTGACAGGCTGAAATGGGGACTGAGGAGTAAATGCTGACTGTCTCACCAACACTGCTGGCCAGGAGGGGATCGCTCCTGCAGCGGAACAGCTTCACAGCTAAACACAGAGGGGTCTTGAGGGTCTGAAGAAACTCTGCAACCAGCTCCCATCTTTCATACAGAGCAGGGAGATCTGCAACCCCTATCAAAACACATGGCGGCTGCAAATAAAGGCTTGCAGTGGCTATGATGGACCTTGCTCTGCATCTAGTACTGATGATAGAGTAGCTGCCGCGATGATGCTCAAGGGAAACTGCACAACCACCCAAGTCTATGGGACTTGCTAAGGCAGTGAGAAAAACCTAGACTCTATATAGGGAGAAGACATGAGTCCTCGAGGAGGGGGTCATCCCACAAGACCACCCCCGTAGAAGGCACTACTTGGCCTATCCCTTCAGAAGACTCCCAGGCCACACAGCCACACCAGCCTGCTGGTCCACACTGCAGCAGGAGGTGGGGGCAGTCACCCACAGCAGCTTAAGGGTCTTCCCCCGCTCCAGACCCCAGCTGAGCCGCTGAACTCTGCTGCACAGCAGAGGGGCAACCACACACCAGCAAGCCCTGCACATCACCACCCCAGCCCAGAGCTTTGAGCTCTGGCTCCTCCAGAGAAACACAGAACTATGTCTCCCTGCTCTGCACCCACCCAAGAGGTGGGGGAAATGAGGGGGGCGAAAAAGCTATTGCTTTCCACCACTCACGGCCAGCACACGGACAATTTACATACAAGAACTCTGCAGTGTTGGTGTTTGCTCACTCACACCGTACCTAGAAGGTGCTGGCACCTCAGCTAACTCTTCACCGCTCTGCACACCATCCTCACCCCAGCAATGGCAGGAGAGATTCTGCAGCTTGCAGAGGATAGTGAGTCCAGCCCACCCAACTGTTTCATATCATTGCTGCAAAATGTGTCCTAATGTAGAGCAAGAGTGTGGGGAATCATGGACAGCTCTGGGCGTGAGAGCTGTCTGAATTAATGTGTGCTAAAAATCAATGTTCAGATGAGCTTGCTTCCTTTCCAAAAGGATCCACGATGCAAGCTCTTCACAGGGAGCGTGCAGGCCCAACTTCTCATCAGAGCATGTGCAAATGCCACAGGAGAGGGAGCCTGGCCAAATGCTGTGGGGAAAGCAGGGATTTCCATATAACCAAGCTTTGTTAGAGTTGGGCAGCTGGTCTTGTCCCTAAGTTGACCTTACCAACACCATCTCATAGCTCCCCATCACACTCTTTGCTCCTGAACATGGGAAGAGCAAGGCTGCTTATTGATGCACACACAGGTTTTGACGCAGGGGTGGCTGTTCCTCAACACCACATGAACATCACCACTGCCGCATGGGCTGGTTCAAGGAACAGCCAAAGACAATGTTTTTGGCTCTCCTAAAAAACAGAGGCAGGGAAGAGAGTGGGGCTCCTGCCAGAGAGATAGTAACAGACACCCCAAGTTTTCACACTCAGTCTGGGGACACACCGGACAGAGGTTTACAGCCTGTTGGTTGTTGTGAAAGCTTGTCCTGATGTGAGGATTTCCAAAGGAGGATAAACAAGAGTTTCTATTTCTCAGCAGCTAACCCAGAGCCCAGACAGAGCTGACCACAAAATAACGAAGAGAAACATGAAAGCACAACCTCCCAGTCCCACGCTGAGCAGGAACAGTGCTTCTTCCATCCTCTGCAAGCTCTTCAAGATCTGAAAGCCTGACCCAGGTTGCCGTCTGGTGTTTTCCCTGCCTATCCAAATTTATCACCTCTGCAGCACTCAACTGTTGCACCCCCCAAAAGCCACGCAGGGCTGTCAAACAAACAGCTGAGCAAGGCGGCGAGGAGGAGAGCCGTTCAGGAGCACCGTCCAGGAAGAGGAGGGCTGGGATCCGCGTGCCAAGCCGACAGCCCCAGTGTGGAGCCGGAGCTGCCGCTGCTGTATTTCCTGACCTTGTGGATTTTCTCCTGTAGCGAGAGGGCTCCTGGCTCCTGTTCAAAGCTGTCTAGGAAAGCCTCGCCGAGTGCTTCCGCCTGGCAGCAGCAGCTGCTCCCAGCCCAGTAGCCAGAGCCACGCAGCTCCAGTAAACAAGAAACATCTGCCAGCCTTGTGCAGGAAGCCAGGAGAGCAAGCACCCAGCCCCAGTGGGCACCAGCATCCTACCTTTGTCTTGCAGGGAGGGGATGAAGGTACAGGTGAGGGCAGAAGGCACATCTCCTTATCTTCTCCCCTGCCTGCGCACGCTGGGCAGCACGGAAGCTTTGCCCGCAGAAGCGAGGACCGAGATGCTTGGCGCAAGCTTTCGCAGGGCTAAGACCTAAAGCAAGTGTAGGCATCAAGGTTA